TCGTGGCTTTTTAGATTTACTATCAGGAATCTTTATATGAATAACAGATCCTAAATCTTTTATATCGTCTATTGTCATGTTCACCATTTCATCGCATCTACATGCTCCAGATACGCCCATTATTAGAACAACCTAAAAGTAGTATGTATTTAAAAACTTGATTGTATTTATGTAGGTTAGAATATTATAACTAACCTTAATTCCTAGATATTGCTCATTAGGTGCATTATTTAAAAAATCTTCAAACTGGTCTTTTGTGAATACCTTTGACTTTTTGGGAGTATACCCTTCATTCTGCTTCTTCAGATAAGCACGTAGTTTCATATATTTGCTAATATCTAATCCATGTTTAATATTCAGTAATGATTTTATCATGGAATACTGAGACCACATTGTTGAACTCTTCATTTTTAATTTAGTTGTCATTTCAAAAAAATAAGCTAGTAGCACATTTTCCGAATAGTTTGAAATGTTTTTATCATTGCACCATGTGAGAAATCTTTCGTAAGCATGATTATAAACTCTACTTGACTTAGTTGGAATTAAATCATTCGTAGCTGCCTTAGCAATGTCAACAACGTCGGGCGGTGTACAGTTGGGTTCTGAATCCGACATAATATAATCTAAAAGAAAATTTCAGTACACTTTACTACAACAAACGAAATTTTGATGCTCAAGTACTTACCAAAAATGCACAGTCCAATTGTTGCTTTAAATCACTTACAATATTTCTGACATTATAAAATATTATTGAACTGTCAAATTTGTTTTTGACTTGGCAATCACAAAACCAGTAACCACGGAAATGTAGTGCGCAGTTTTATAATTATTATTCTCTGAATTTATCAACTTCGTTGCAATCGTTTTGAATTTTTATTTAAATATTAATTAGTTCTATAGTCTGGATGCCGTTTGCGGAAAAATAGCATGTTTCATTCGGAGCAAAAGCACTTTTTGTGGCTCGTCTGAAATTGTCGGCCTCACTAACGTTCGGCCATCAAACATTCAGACTCGCCACAAAAAGTTATACTTTTACTCCTAATAAAACAATATACTATTACTATTATTTATTGATTAGATGGAGTAGAAAAAAACTAAAAATAAGGTTTTTGAAATATTTAGGTTTTGTTTTTTACAATAAAATATATAGGTTACCGTGGAATTTATTGAGAAATTATTATTAAAAAATCACAAAAAATTTTCAACTAGGTTACTTGAAAATTTTTTGTGATTTTTTAATATTAATTTCTCAATAAGTTCCACGGTTTACTATATATATTTTATTGTATAAAACAAAATCTAAATATTTCAAAAACCTTATTTTTAGTTTTTTTCTACTCCATCTAATCAATAAATAATAGTATAATTCGAGAATTGTTGTTGAGGACTTACTTTCTCGTGAGGCACTGTACAAATACTCACATTTTAAAAAAAAATTCTCAAAAATTTGCAAGGTAAGGTATAGTTAAAAGTTCAGTATTAGATAAATAAGGACTTCAACTATTAGAAAAAAATTAATTTTAGTCATAATCTAATAACTTTTTTTTAACATTTGAGGCGAGAGGTGTGGCGAAAGGACCTCCTTAAAAGCGCTCAGCGACAAACAATTCGCGATAATGTAAAGCACGACCGCAGCAAAACCGCAACACGACCGCTATACGAGCGTTTTGGTATTTTCAACTTGCTGTATGTACTATGCACATTTGAAAAATATAAAACGTTTTCAAAAAGGTTACTCACGTTACATATAAGTCGGTAGTACCTTGCTATTTGCAAGTTTTGACATATGCGTATGAAGATAAGTCAAACCCTTTAAATACGATCTTAAATATTAATATACAGGGTGGACCAATCTTATGGAAAAGTTCGATATCTTCCTTGTTGAAAGAGATATTAAAAAAGTATATTAAGAAAATTATAGACATGTTTGAGGTTAACATTTTAAAATTATTGGGAGGCATACAGGGTGTTGCATAGCTCGTGTACGAACCAAACATATGTTTTTTTTATGATAACCCCAGTATATTATTTTAGATTCTGTTTACTCATCTTTTTTCCATTCTTCTAATATATAGTTTGACTATGTTATATAGGGTACGTTTCAAGGAATTGACATTTTTGTGAAAGAATCGTACATAATTCAACGTCCAGCAGTCAATTACACACTGTAGAAAAAAAAATTTTTTACCCACACGAATTTTATAATATGATGTATTATACTTTTTTTAGTTATATTTTTATTATCTGTTTATTTGTATACAGGGAGACTCAATACTCAGACCCTTGATTTTCTTGTTTTATTTAAATGAGACACCCTATATTTTATATCACCAGTAAAATCATCAGTTCCAAGTCTTTCATTTTTATAAAGCATTCCCTATACCTAAAGGTAATATTTATCGATATTTTTTAACAATAAATGAAAATTATGGTTATTTCGATAAATTAAACTAGTTTTTCATAAAATACTCTTTATAAACAATAATAAATAACATGTGTTATTTTTTATCTAGTCGCCAATGCATTTAATATACCTGTCACCGTCCAGTTGACAATTTTGATATTTTAAAAATCAAGAGCAACTGCCTGTGTGTTAATGTTTTAAGTAAATTACTAATAAGATGAACAATACGAATTTTTCTATCCCAGAAATGGTGGATATGATTTATATACCAGGTGAGTGCAACAAGAATTCTTCTCCAGAGTGTACCACCAACGATATCCGGAACGCTGGAAACCAAATAAAAAGGCGTCTGAAAAACTAATGGACCGTTTTAATCGTACTGGTACTGTATCATACGAGCAAAAACAAGTAACGAAAACTGCTATCACGGAAGAGAATGAAATAAAAGTATTTTTGAGTATTTATGATGATCCGCATATTAGTAAACGAAATATTTCAAGACAACAACAAGTCAGTTACGGAACAGTTCAAAGAATCCTATCAAAACATAAAATGCATCCTTTCCATATCCAGTTACATCAAAAACTTCTTGAACGGGATTTTGAAAATAGAGTGATATTTTGTGAATGGTCCCAACAAAAAATTATTCAACAAAGAAATTTCTTTGATTTTGTGCTCTTTGGTAATGAATCGACTTTTCATAAAAATGGAGGTTTTAATAGGCATAATTTTCACTATTGTTCTACATCAAACCCACACATTATAGTCATTCATAGCCAAATGAGGTAGTCATTAAATGTTTGGGGTGGCATTGTGGGTGATTAAGAGATAGGGCCACACTTTTTTGAAGGACGAGTATATTTGGATTTCCTTAAAAATTATATGCCTACGTTACTCAAAGATGTTCCCCTTCACATTCGCCAACAAATATGGTTTTTGCACGATGGTGCACCAGTCCATCACACTGTAGTAATTCATAATTATTTAAATAATCACTTTCCAAGACGGTGGATCGGAAGAGGAGGACCGATAGGGTGGCCGGATTTGACAATAATTAATTTTTTTCTGTGGGGTTATGTAAAAAACAAAGTATATAATATGCCTGCAACGACAGAAGAGGACATGAAAACTCGAATCAGAAATGTATTTCAAAGTATTGATGTTCAAATGCTGAGAAATGTGAGTCAGTCATTCGAAATTCGATTACAAAACTGTATTGATGTTATGGGAGGTCACTTTGAACAACTTTTATAATTATGTTTTAATTGTTTTGTTTGTTTTTGAGTTTTTTTGTATTTACACATATTATTTATGACTATTGATAAAAATTTTTTTTTTATGAAAAATTAGTTTAATGTATCGAAATAACCATAATTTTCATTTAATGTTAAAAATATCAATAATTATTAACTTTAGGTATAGAGAATGCTTAATAAAAATGAAAGGCTTGGGACAGATGATTTTACTGGTGATATAAAATATAAGGTGTCCCATTTAAATAAAACAAGAAAATCAAGGGTCTATTGAGTCTCCCTGTATACGAATAAACAGATAATAAAAATATAACTAAAACAAAATATAAAAGATCATATTATAAAATTCGTGTGGGTAAAAAAAAATTTTTTTTCTACAGTGTGTAATTGGCTGCTGGACGTTGAATTATGTACGATTCTCTCACAAAAATGTCAGTTCCTTGAAAAGTATCTTATATAACATAGACAAACTATATATTAGAAGAATGGAAAAAAGATGAGTAACAGAATCTAAAATAATATACTGGGGTTATCATTAAAAAAAACAAATGTTTGTTTCGTACACGAGCTATGCACCACCCTGTATACCTCCCAATAATTTTAAAATATTAACCTCAAACCTATCTATAATTTTCCTAATACACTTTTTTAATATCTCTTTCAACAATGAAGATATCAAACTTTTTCATAAGATTGGTCCACCCTGTATATTAAAATTTGTTATAATTTTGGGACAGGCCTCAAGTGCTTGCTTTTGGACCGCTTCTAGACATAGATAAAAATCCCTTTGATTTTGAGAAAAATCTGAATAAAAATGTGGGGGTTAAGGGTGATTGAAATTAAGAAAAAAGATCACAAATCAAAAACGAAAAGCGATATCAACATGAAATTTTTAGTGAAAATTAAGCTCTATGAGAGGATGAAGCCTATTGATTCTGAAAAATCTAAATTAAAATGGGGGTCAAAGAGGGCTGAAATATCGAAAAATATGACGCTATATCCCCACTTTTACTGTGCTCTTCTTTTATTCAGACTGTAATATATTATCTTATCAATTTTATGTAGTTAACCGATTAAGTCTTACTCCATTCTCAACTCGATCGTTTTAAGGAGTAAAGTAAAACGATTGAGCAAGTAGATTTTCAAAATAATCCGACGGTATCAAAGTTTCTGTATTTCTATGAAACATCTTCAATTTTTTAAATAACACTTCATTGATCATTTCATTTGAAAGCTAATTCCATTAGTAATCAACGCACCCTATAAGATTATTCTAAATATCTTCATATTTGCAACAAAATGAAGTTAAAAAATATTGAAAACCTTTTTTTCTACATTTTCAGAAAATGAACCATGCGTTAGTCCCAGAGATGAAGATGGTGATTGTAAAATAATAACGAAATGTCAAAGTTTATTTGATCTTTTACAAAATAGGCCACTCAAGTCTGAAGATGCCGATTATTTAAGACGATCTCAATGTGGGTTTGATGGAGCTTTACCCAAAGTATGTTGTCCACTTAGGGCTAGACCCGTTACTACCAGAAGGCCGGACAAAGATACTTATGCAACAGGTAAGTGATTTTAACAATTTTACGTAAAATATACATTGTTCAAAAATAAAGAAGAAGGTGCTGTTAAAGATAGTTATAATTCCATAAAATTCAAGCATAATATTAACTTTCTTAGGAATGATATTCAATTCCTTGTTCTAGAGACGTGGTTCTCAAAGTGGACGATAGCGCCTCTTTGGATTATATGGACACCTCATTAGAAACTATTTGTAAAGATTAAATTATTTTGAAATAATTTTTTTAAATTGTAACAAAAGCATCTGTTTATATCGAATATGCTAAGGTATTTAAATATATAGATATAGAAAATACTATACGTGTCAAGATTAATAAAAAAAACAACAAAAAGAAAAGTTGGATAACTAACGGATTAATGAAATCCATTGCACACAGAGATAAGTTATATAAAATATTTCAAAGAAAGCAAGATGATATATCTAAAAGAGAATTTATTGCATACAGAAACCATTTAAATACATTGATTAAAAAAACAAAAATTGACTTTCACAAAAAAAACATAGAAAACACTAAAAATAATTCTAGTAATCTCTGGAAAGCTATAAATAAAATTAGCGGTAACACAATAAAAAAACAAGAAATTAGACAAATTTTGAAAACGGATAATACAAAAACAAATGTTGAATCCGAAATAGCGGAAATTTTTATCAATTATTATACAAATGTTGGACCGAATTTAGCTAGAAAAATAAACATATCTGGTGCACCACCTGAACCTAGAATCACTTGTAAACAATCAATTTTTCTTAAACCTACAAACGTAAATGAAGTTTTAGATGTAATTAATAATTTAAAGAATAAAAAAGCACCAGGTGTAGATTGTATTACAGCAGAAACAATTACAGAATTAAAAACGGAAATTGTAATAGCTTTGACTCACCTCATTAATTTGTCATTAGAAAAATCAGTTTTTCCAGAAGAATTTAAAATTGCAATAGTTAAGCCTCTGTACAAAAATGGTGACAAATGTAAACCATCCAATTATAGACCAGTATCACTTACCAACAATTTTACAAAAATTTTAGAAAAAATAATAAAAATCAGACTTGAATCATTTTTGAACAAAAATAACATAATTTCAAAAAAGCAATTCGGCTTCCAAAGTAACAAATCAACTGAGGATTCTATAGCGAAGCTTACAAAACAAATGTACACATCAATGGACCAGAGTAGACCATCAATCGCTGTGTTCCTGGATCTTGCCAAGGCATTTGACACTGTTGACCATCAACAGTTGTTGGAAGCCTTGGCAGATGCAGGAGTAAGGGGTAGTGCTTTTGAGCTTTTTAAAAGTTATCTGTTGAATAGAAAGCAATGCGTACAAATAGAAGAACACATGAGTAGTGTAAAGAATGTAAAATGCGGGATACCCCAAGGCACAGTACTTGGCCCAATTCTGTTTAATATATATATATATATTAATGATTTATTATCATTAAATAATAAGGGCCAGGTACTTAGCTTTGCCGACGATACCGTTTTTTTCTATTCGGCAGATACGTGGAAGGACTTAAAGGTATTAGTTGAGGATGACTTAAAACTCCTTTTTAATTGGTTTGATCATAGGCTTCTTACTGTTAATTATAATAAAACACACTTTTTATCTCTAACAAGTTACGAAAACAATCTTCCTAACTATAATACTCTAAACATAATATATAATAGCAAAAATATTGAAATTAAATCAGAAAAAAAAGTTAAGTATTTGGGTATCACAATTGATTGTCACCTAAGGTGGAATCATCATATAAATAAGGTAGTTAATACATTAAGAACATTTCTATATAAATTTAAATATCTTACAAATATCCTGGATTTACCTTACCTAAAAATGTTATATTATGCTTTGGTGGAATCGAGAATAAACTATGGAATCATTGGCTGGGGTGGAGCAACTAATGTTTATCTAGAAAAAATTGAAACTATTCAAAAATTATTATTAAAAATTATTTATAAAAAAAATCGTACTTACCCCTCGGACCAACTATACAAAGAATTAAAAATATTAGATCCTAAAAAACACTTTTTCCTTAAAATTGCCAACTACTACTATAAAAACCCAACTAGCCTTAATATTGTTACTCATGAACACGAAACAAGACGAAAAAACAAAATTAAATATAAAGACTTAGCATCTCGCAAAACTGTAGGCCAAAAATGCCACTTCTTCTTAGCATCAAAAGTGTTAAATTATTTACCTCCAAAAATTCTAAAATCAAAATCATTATCGCAATTTAAAACAAGAACAAAAAAATTTTTATTAGAAGAATATAGAGCAAATATCAGAAATATTATTGATATGAATATCGATAGAAAAATGAAAAATAAAAAAAGAATAAAAAAATTTATTAAAAAAAAAAATAAATAAAATAAAAAATAAAAAATAATGAAAATTAAAAAAAAAAGCGGCAAATTTCTCTATTATTATTATTATTATTATATGTCAGTATTTGTATTATATTAATTAATTGTAAAATAAAACATAAAATAGTACTTAACATATCTCTACACACGCCACGGACAGTTTTATACTTTGTGGCAATGGGTAAGTTTATTTGTATGTACCTAAAAAAAAAAATATTTATTAAAAAAAATGTATTTAAAAAAAAAATTTATTATATTTAATTTTTTGTACATTTTTCAAAAATAAAATAAACTTTTATTATTATTATTATTATTATTATTATTATATATTATTATTATTATTATATTATTATTATTATTATTATTATTATTAATTTGTTAATAATGATGCTTATATCATGTTGGTCGGTGATTATAACATACCAAAAATAAATGGTAAAAACTATCAATTTAAGGAGGTCCTTTCGCCACCAATGTTAAATAAAAAATATTAGATTATGACTAAAATTAATTTTTTTCTAATAGTAGATGTCCTTATTTATCTAATAGTGAACTTTTAACTATACCTTACCGTGCAAATTTTTGAGAATTTTTTTTTTAAAAATGTGTGTGTTTGTACAGTGTCTTACGAGAAAGTAAGACTTCAACAACAATTTTCGAATTATAATTAATTTTACTATTATTTATTGATTAGATGGAGTAGAAAAAAACTAAAATTAGGGTTTTTGAAATATTTAGGTTTTGTTTTTTACAATAAAATATATAGGTTACCGTGGAATTTATTGAGAAATTAATATTAAAAAATCACAAAAAATTTTCAACTAGGTTACTCCAAATTTTTTTTTTAATATTAATTTCTCAATAAATTCCAAGGTAACCTATATATTTTATTGTAAAAAACAAAACCTAAATATTTCAAAAACCCTATTTTTAGTTTTTTTTCTACTCCATCTAATCAATAAATAATAATATAATTCGAGAATTGTTGTTGAGGTCTTATTTTCTCATAAGACACTGCACAAACACTCACATTAAAAAAAAAAAATTCTCAAAAATTTGCACTGTAAGGTATAGTTAAAAGTTCAACATTAGATAAATAAGGACTTCAACTATTAGAAAAAAAAATAAATTTTAGTCATAATCTAATATTTTTTAGTTAACCTTGGTGGCGAAAGGGGTGGCGAAAGGACCTCCTTAATGTTCAATGTGAGATCGAAAATACAATACAAACTTTAATGGCCTCATATAATCTCAAATCTTATAATACCATTTTAAACGTAGATAATAGAACATTAGACTAAGTCCTGGGTAATTTTTCCGTAAAAATTGAGTAGGATACAACACCCTTAGTTAACAAAGATATACGGCACCATGTATTGAAGTAAGAGGTTAGATTAAAGAAAGCTCTTTACAATCTTGATACTAATAGCATATTTTTATAAAGTTATTTATAATATTATGGATATAGCAGTTCCTAAATTTAATAAAAAACCAAAAAATTGTAAAACATTCCCACCTTAGTTTAATAGCGATATAATAACAGATTTAAAAATAAAAGAATTTTATAGGCCCAGGAAAAGCCAATCAGAAACGTATCTAAAAAATTTTACAGAAAAATAAAAAGAAACCAAACTAAAAATTAAGAGATCTTATGATGTTATGTTATGTTATGTTATGTTGAGAATGGGGTGTTAATACACTGCGACCTAAAAGATCTATTGTGCCCCCTTCTGTCGCCACTGCACTAAAGAAATGTCTCAATGCCTATAGCGACCCTTTCAATCCTATTTTCTCAAGGAAGTGTAGGATTTGAAGTGGCTTCAAGTTAGGTAAATCTCCCTCTTCTATTTGATATTCTCCTAGATATAGTGCCCTTGGATTCTGGAGTGCTACACATTCAGTTAGGATGTGAATGGAGGTTTCGTCCTCCTCCTCACAGAATCTGCCCTCACTATCCTCTACTACTCTCAGTTTACTTAGGTGTGTTTTTAGTCGGCAATGCCCGGTAAGGATCCCTGTTACAATACGTAGCCTGTTCTTGCTTAGGCAGATGCAAGCTTCCGATCTTTTCTGGTTATATTCACCCAGAAGATCTTGGCCTGTCTCAGCCCCAAGAGATTGATCCAATTATCGGTTCTTTTACAACCCAATTCTTTTTTAATCTCTCCTAATATTATGTTACTGCTGATACCGCAGAACGGCTCAGGTCCTACAAAGGTTGTTTGAGCCCCTTTCCTTGCAAGACTATCTGCAATCTCGTTACCCTGTACCCCGTTATGTCCCGGGACCCAAGTGAGAGTAACTCTATTTTTCTCGCCTAGCTCATTCAATTGTTCTAGGCATCTCCAGACCATTTTTGAGCTGATTACGTAAGAACTCAGCGCTTTGATGGCTGCTTGACTATCGGACATGATGATAATCTCTTGTCTATGATAGTTTCTCTCGATGTTAAACTGGATACACTTCTCGATGGCGTGAGTTTCCGCCTGGAAGATGCTTGGGTATTTTCCCAAGCTTTCGGAATGCTTGGTTCTCGGCCCATACACTCCTGTTCCAGTTCCTTCAATGGTTTTGGAACCATCCGTATACCACTGAATAGCACGTCTTTCGGTTGCAAG